GGCAATGCTAATCAAGGTGGTCAGTTGAAACATTCACACCTAGCTCCAGCAGACAAGAGTTCTTTGTCCCACGCTGGTCATTCCACAGATATATAAATGCAATTTTCCTAATTCCAACAGACCTCACTACCTCTGAGGATGCTTGCCATAGATGCAGGAGAGAATGCCTTTAGAACATGGCCATATAGCCCGAAAAAACCTACAACAACCCAGCCTACTGGCTGTTAGGAATTGTGGGAGTTGAAGTCCAAAACAGGAGGGCTGAAGTTTGCCCAGGCCTGCAAGAATCAAGGCAGTTTGCCCATGCGTGGTGTAGCAGATCCCCTGTCAGATGGGGTTGTCTCCTAGGCAACGCCAGAGGGCGCTCTTTCCCTCCTCGGATTGGCTCTGAAGAAGCTGGTTCTCCTTCCCGGGGTTTCCTCCGTCTCAATTCCCCGAAGGGAGAGCCAGCTGTTGCCGCTCTTCAGCCATGGCCAGGAGGGCAGGCCTCCGAGGCTCCGCCTGACTCGCCCCGAGGCTCAGAGGCTGACCAGCAAGGAAAGGCCGCCGTCGCGCTTGTGTTCTGGGTAAGAGCAGCGCCGCGCGCCACAAACCCAAAGCCTGAGGAGGCTCGCGCTCAGCTAGAGGCGCGTGCCCGCTAGCCAGGCTGACGCATGCGCAGTAAAGAAGAGGAAGAGGCCGGCGAGATGGCGCTGCCCTCGCGGGGACCGGAAGAACACCAGGCGACCGGAGCACACGACTTAAACTGGGTTGTTGTAGGTCTTTCGGGCTGGTATGGCCCTGTTGTAGAAGCATTCCCTCCTGACGTTTCGCCTGAGGGCCTCTGAGGATGTCTACCATAGATATAGATATAATATTCATAATATTGTAATGCAATACAATATAATACTACTACTACTACTACTACTACTACTATGATATTATAATTATACATTTTATATTACACTACCTGCGTTGCTGTGGCTAACCTTCCCTCCCTCTTTTTCTTTCTCTCCTTCCTTCCTTCTCTTCCCTTCCTTCCCTATCTCTTCTTTCCCTCCCTCTTTATCTTCTTTCTTTCCTTCCTCCCTCCCCTCCCTCCCTACCTTTTCTTTCCCTCTTTCTCTTCTTTCTTTCTCTCCTTCTTTTCCTTCCCCACTCTTTCTTTCCCTTCCTCTTTCTTTTTTTCTTTCTTTCTTTCTTTCTTTCTTTCTCTCCCTCTTCCCTTCCTTTCCCACCTTTTCTTTCCCTCCCTCTTTCTCTTCTTTCTTTCTCTCCTTCTCTTCCTTCCCCACCTTTTCTTTCCCTTCCTCTTCATTCTTCTCTCCTTCCTTCCTTCTCTTCCCTTCCTTCCCCACCTTTTCTTTTCCTCTGTCTTCTTTCTCTCTCTCCTCTTCTTCCCCTTTTTCTTTCCCTTCCTCTCTTTCTTTCTCCTTCCTCCTTCCCTTCCTTCTCTCCCTTTTTCCCTCCTCTTTCTCTTCTTTCTTTCCTTCCCTCTTCCCTTCCTTTCCCACCTTTTCTTTCCCTCCCTCTTTCTCTTCTTTCTTTCTCTCCTTCTCTTCCTTCCCCACCTTTTCTTTCCCTTCCTCTTCTTCTCTCCTTCTCTTCCCTTCCTTCCCCACCTTTTCTTTCCCTTCCTCTTCTTTCTTTCTCTCCTTCCTTCCTTCTCTTCCCTTCCTTCCCCACCTTTTCTTTCCCTTCCTCTTCTTTCTTTCTCTCCCTCCTTCCTTCTCTTCCTTTCCTTTCCCATCTTTTCTTTCCCTTCCTCTTCCTCTTCTTTCTTTCTCTCCTTCCTTCCTTCTCTCCTCTTCCTTCCCCACGTTTTCTTCCCCTTCCCCTTCTTTCTTTCTCTCCTTCCTTCCTTCTCTTCCCTTCCTTCCCCACCTTTTCTTTCCCTTCCTCTTCTTTCTTTCTCTCCTTCCTTCCTTCTCTTCCCTTCCTTCCCCACCTTTTCTTTCCCTTCCTCTTCTTTCTTTCTCTCCTTCCTTCCTTCTCTTCCCTTCCTTCCCCACCTTTTCTTTCCCTTCCTCTTCTTTCTTTCTCTCCTTCCTTCCTTCTCTTCCCTTCCTTCCCCACCTTTTCTTTCCCTTCCTCTTCTTTCTTTCTCTCCTTCCTTCCTTCTCTTCCCTTCCTTCCCCACCTTTTCTTTCCCTTCCTCTTCTTTCTTTCTCTCCTTCCTTCCTTCTCTTCCCTTCCTTCCCCACCTTTTCTTTCCCTTCCTCTTCTTTCTTTCTCTCCTTCCTTCCTTCTCTTCCCTTCCTTCCCCACCTTTTCTTTCCCTTCCTCTTTTTTCATTATCTCCTTCCTTCTCTTCCCTTCCTTCCCTACCTTTTCTTTCCCTTCCTCTTTTTTCATTATCTCCTTCCTTCCTTCTCTTCCCTTCCTTCCCCACCTTTTCTTTCCCTCCCTCTTTCTCTTCTTTCTTTCTCTCTTTCTTTCCCTCCTTCCATCTCTTCCCTTCCCTACCTTTTCTTTCCCTCCCTCTTTTCTTCTTACTTTATCTCCTTCCTTCTCTTGTTTTATATATTTTTAAAAGTGTTTTAATGTATTTTATAACTTAATTTAAATGTCTATAATTGTACATATACTATGTCTTCGTATGGTTGTCTATATGTAAGCTGCCTTGAGTCCCCTCCAGGATAGAGAAAGGCAGGGTAGAAATGCCGTAAATAAATAAAATAAATTAATATCACAGGGTGAAACTTTTTTCAGGTAGCACCTGGAGCCCAGTTTTGAGAGCTTTCCAGGTTTGTATTTACACATTGACTAAAATATATATAGTCTGAGTGAATGTTATCTTCAAGGTCTAATACATTACATGCATACAGGTTTACATATTTGGGTGTGTATATTGTACTTTCTAAACAAAGTTTGCATTTTATGTATACAATCCTCACTGTTGCACTCTAGCCTTAAGACACCTTTTCACCCAGCACCACACCAGAGTCCAGTAGTACTAACTACAAAACTTTATTAAGAAAAACATGTACAAAAGAAAAAAAAAAAGGCTTCCCCCCCAAAGTGCAGTAGAATAGGAAATACAATATAGCTTTTATGCCACCCCCGGGGATATATGTGTATAAAATAGGTATAAAAACTAGACATTTACTGATAATTGGTATTTGCAAGGCTTGCTAAATGGGCTGCTTTTCCGTTTTATGATGTTCAGCTGAAGCAATTTCTGCAGAGTGTACCGTAAACACCGCAGGATTTGTCAGCAGATTTGTGTAGGGGCCCTTCCAGACAGCCCGTATATCTCAGTATCTGATCCCAAGTTTTCTGTTTATCCCGGATTATTTGGCAGCTTATATCCAGTTTAAAGCAGAAAACCTGGGATCAGATCCTGGGATATAGCAAAGATCCGCCTAGTCAAAGCCATGGTATTCCCTGTAGTAACCTATGGATGTGAGAGCTGGACCTTAGGGAAGGCTGAGCGAAGGAAGATAGATGCTTTTGAGCTGTGGTGTTGGAGGAAAGTTCTGAGAGTGCCTTGGACTGCGAGAAGATCCAACCAGTCCATCCTCCAGGAAATAAAGCCCGGCTGCTCACTGGAGGGAAGGATACTAGAGACAAAGTTGAAGTACTTTGGCCACATTATGAGGAGACAGCAAAGCCTAGAGAAGACAATGATGCTGGGGAAAGTGGAAGGCAAAAGGAAGAGGGGCCGACCAAGGGCAAGATGGATGCATGGCATCCTTGAAGTGACTGGACTGACCTTGAAGGAGCTGGGGGTGGTAACGGCCGACAGGGAGCTCTGGCGTGGGCTGGTCCATGAGGTCACGAAGAGTCGGAGACGACTGAACGAATGAACAACAACAACTGGAAGGGGGCTAGGTTGCATTTTACTGTTGCCAAATTTTAATGACCCCAGTATTAAGTGGATTCCCGTTTGTGGTTGAGACTCACAGTTTAAATAAGAAGCAATGCCCTAGATGGCTTTCAGGGATAAAATGTTTTCATCAGAAGCAGTACAGTTTAAAACAGGGGTCCACAAACGTTTTAAGCAGAGGGCCAGGTCACAGTCCCTCAAACTGTTGGCGGGCCAGATTATAATTCGAAAAAAATACGAATGAATTCCTATGCACAGTGCACATATCTTATTTATAGTGCAAAAACATTTAAAAACAGTACAATAATTAAAATTAAGAATAATTTTCACAAATATAAACTTATTTGTATTTCAATGGAAAGTGTGGGCCTGCTTTTGGCTGATGAGATAGGATTGTTGTTACTGTGTGCTTTCAAGTAGTTTCATACTTAGGTTGAACCTGAGCGAGGGCCGGGTAAATGACCTTGGAGGGCCGCATCCGACCCCCGGGCCTTACTTTGAGGACCCCTGGTTTAAAAGTTAGTGTCAGTATTCTGCAGTGTGTAGTCAGTCTGTATTGAGTCAGTGTTCAGTAGTGTATTAGACTGAAGAGAGTGTTAGTCTGTATGCAACAGAGAAGAGACTAAAACAATGTTTTAGAGAACTTACTGTTTAAACTCTCAACCAATAAGAAATGTACCTGTATGCTGAATACGTGAAGTTTGTAAATAAATCAACTATGTTACTTCTAACAGAGACTACTTATTTTGGCCTTTTGAGAGCATGATTTAAAAGCAATCAATTTTATGGGAGAGTAGATGTTTTTGGGGCAACTGAAATAACATTTCTGAAGATCCGCTATATATTTTGTGCATTGGCACATATTTGTTCCTAACAGTTCATAGAGATGACCAGGTATATCATTCTAACAACTGAGAAGCCTAAATTGCCTTGCATGAATACAGGTGGATATTTACCACTAAGGAGAAGATTCACTCAAGCGAGTATTTCACTCTTTTCAGGAAGATCATACAAAAGGTTTATGATTAGCCTTGCATGAATACTAGTGCAGTGGTTCTCAACCTGTGGGTCCCCAGATATTTTGGCCTACAACTCCCAGAAACCCCAGCCAGTTTACCAGCTGTTAGGATTTCTGGGAGTTGAAGGCCAAAACTTCTGGGACCCACAGGTTGAGAACCACTGTACTAGGAAATATTACTTTTTAACGGACAAACTAAAAAAGAGGCATATAAAATTCAAATGGGAAAGGAGGGAGGGTATAATGGTGACATGGAGAAAAACTAAATACTGGCTCACTTCTGAAGCTAAGGCAAGAGCATTCTGGGAAAAATTAATCAAAGCAGAAGAACAGAAAGAAGAGGAAAAAAACAAAGAAAAGGAGAAGAACAAGACACTACAACCAAAAATGTCAGAAACGGAAGGAGATTTAATAAAAACAGCAGATGAGAGTGAGGAAGAAGAGTATGAAAATAAAAGAAAGAGAGCCAGAGAAATATCACCAAAGGTATACCCGCCCCAACCATTTGAAGTAAGGAAAGACAAGGATATAGAGGACATAAATTTAAATAAAAATAACGATGGATTGTAAAATTAAAATGTACAGTAATAATGTCAACGGTCTCAATTCACCTAATAAAAGAAAGAAAAATTTTCACCAATTAAAAAAAGGAAATTATGGTATTTCATTGCAAGAAACACACATTACAAAAAAATACAGCGACCTGCTAGAGCAAAATAAACTGGGTAAGATGTTCTACA